GGATATTCTTGAAACTGCATACACATGTATCTTTTTACAGGAATCGAATTGTCCGCACGAAACCACTGAATTGGCCTTGAAAACTCAGTTAAAGTTCAGATCACGCGTTTGCCGTAAAAGCTGAACTGCTTTTAGTTAAGTCTTGCTTTCTGCAAAGCATGCAGGTGATTTTTGTTACTATTTAACACTATTTACCTGCATGATATGAGAGCAGTTTAAAAGAAATACATTACATTTTCCTCGTGGGGAACAACGTTTTGTTTTTAAAAGAGTTTTTTTTTTCTGTTTAATAGGACATTAATTCGTCAGTGATTGGCTCTAGTCCATCTCAGCCTGCTACTAACGGAACCTTTCACCCAGAAACCGAAAACCATATCAAGCCTCCGCTCAAACGTAGCATTGGTGACAAGAAAACAATGTACGAAAACAGAACGGATGATGAAAAATCTGGATCGCTTCAACTGGAACCCAAAGTAGACCCTTATAGTAAACCTCCCGCGACCACTGAAAAGGACAAACTCCTGCTTAGTTCTATGAACGGTTCTTGCGGTGCCGTGGACGAGGCGGAACAGGTGTCCACGGCACCCACTCTCCAGTCTTCGGCGGCCTCAAGTAAAATAGACGGCTTATTGTTGAACTTGGAAGAAGACGGTGCATCGTTTGGAAACCACACAAGGTACAGTTTAATACGGTCATCTTTTTAAACCGTCGGTTGTCATTATTGGTTATCATCATCATCATCATCATCATCATCATCATCATTATCTTTGTTTAGCTCTTCTCTTTAGGCGAGTTTGTTGCTGTGGTAATTCTTAATTGTAAATCTTCAAATGCAAGCTACTGAGCAGTACTGTTTGTGGTATTCCTGTGGTATCACCTTTGCGTTTGTTGATTAAATCCTTAACTGTGGCTATTCGGATGAACGCTACTGAACAGCACTTTCCTGTGATACTCTTTACTACGCTATATGAGGTCTTACCTTTTTTCTGCGCTTTTCACAAACATGCGGACTCTAAAGTTCAAAAGCCGCCTTCAAAATTGCGTTTTTCGCTGCCGTCAATCATAAGTACGATCACAAGCAACGAACCTTGAAACACAGAAACAAACAAAACGGAACGAAATCCACCAATCACAAATCACAAACCTTGACCTTTTGAACCCGTTAAAGTAAAGTTTTGTTTCCTAAGAGGTCCGTTAAGACGATTGACGGCAGCGAAAAACGTAATCGTCAGTTGGCTTTTGAACTTCCGAATTCGCATGTTTGTGAATAGCGCAGTAATAAGGTTGTCCATTTATTTCCAAAGGGAGTAATCAAATAATAATCAAATTAAAACTACCGAGCAGCTTTCTCAAGTGGTGCTGTTTACTTTCCTGTTAAAAGTAGTCCTAACTGTAGAGTTTGTTAGTGAAATCATAGTTTGACCGCTCAAATAGAACCTACTGTGAAAAAATTTATGCAAAATTTAGATTCTTTTATTTTTGCCTAGCAGATCCACTTCTGATGCTCAATCGCCGCGCTTACCGAGTGGTTTGTCACATGAAGAGCTCATTCCCTTCTTGATGGAAGAGAAGAAAAGAAAGGAGGAAGAAAGGTCAAAGCAGCGGGAAATAGATGAGGAAATGCTGAAGAAAGCACGCCAAGAAGTTTATAAACAGGAGGAAGAAAGCAGGAAAGCTGCGGAGCAAAGAAAAAACACGTTTCAAGAGGAAAGAAAGAAGCTAGAGCAACAAATGTCCCTCGCTCAGGAAGGACAGGGACAAAAGAAGGCCCCACTCTCCAGATCGGAGGCAGGAAGGATTATTGAAGAAGAGTTAGAACAACAAAGAATGCGAGAGGAATTAACTCGTATTGAGATAGAGAAAATTAAAGAAAAAGAAAGATTGGAGGTTGAGAAACAGAAACTAATACACGCGAAAAAGGAAGAGCATCCCTCGGCTTTTCAAACAAAAGGTCAGATCCAAACAGCGATCTTTGATGAGAAATTAGACGCACCGGACGGGGGTAATTTTCAAGGCGTTCGGTTTTCCTCAAAGAGAGGAAGCGTAATTGATCTGAGCGAAGAAGAAGGTGTTAGTGGTCCAATAAAAGGGGCGATAGAGAATAGGCCCCTTCAGGAACCTGTTTTCGTACCACGTCCTGCCCCTCCCCAATCACAGCCCCAGGTACAATCCCAACCGCAACATCAGCCCGTTATTCGTAGACCAAAGGATGGAGGAAAACCAGCCACGGGAGGAAAACCTGAATACCGGAAGAGTATTGTGGAGCTGGAAATAGAAAGACAGAAGGAAAGAGAAGAAGAGGCGAGGAGAGAGGCTGAAATCGCAAGAAGGGTTCAGTCTGCAAACCAAGGCAGTGATAAAGGGCCTGGAAAGAAGAGCGAGGAGATAAAATCGAAAGACGAGCATTCAAGACAAGTAGCCGAGTCAAATGCTGTTGCTGCCAAAGTCCCCAGCGTGAAGAAGCAGACTAAAAAGTTTGAGAAGAAAAGTGAAGCTTTTAAAGCAACCGGTCAAGGTCCCAAAAATCCTGTCTCAGGTGGATTGACTGGTAAAACCCCAGGATTTCAGACCCGTAATGGAGAAGAAACTGTCGTTCAGCAAGCAAAGTCAACAGTTGTCGCGTCTTCGCCTGTTGACGAGATCGATGCGTTTCGCCAGCCAGTTGCAAACGGTTCGGGGCCAGAGGTAAACGGTTTGGAAACGGAAGAGGAGAGAAAAAGAAGAGAGGAGAAGGAACTTTTTAGGCTGGAGCAAGAGGAAGAGAAAAGACGCAGGGAAGCGCAAAGGCAAGATCTTGAAAGAATCAGGAAAGAAGTAGATCTTAAAGAAGCTGAAGAGATGCTCCGCGTTAAGCTTGCGAAAGAAGAAGAAAAGAAGAAGCAGAGGGAAACCGAACGCAAACTCGCTGAGGAACGTCAAAAAGACCACGCGGAAACGCTAAAGAGGTATGAGAATGATGCGACGTCAAGGAAAACGGCGTTCGCAGCGCACAAGTTGATTCTTGAACAGCGTGTTTTGAAAGCGCTGGAAGAGAGTAAACAAGAAAGTACTGTTCCAAAGCGGCGCGCGTCCAGCTTTGATCGCCCGTCTGAAGCGTTTGAGCAAGGCAACTCTCTCGGTTCGCAAAGAGATGAATTTAGCAGTGGAGGAGTAACGCTTAGGAAAGCTAATTTTGAGAAAAATGGAGTGAGAAAAGACTCTAAGGAGGAACTGCGAAAGAAGCGGTACTCTCTTAATCTTCACCAAACTCGACGTGGGATAAACTCTTTGGATGATACATCGTTGGGAAAAGACCGCGTAACTATGGAGGCCATCGATGACGTCTTTGTAGGAAGACTGAAGTCTCAAGCAGATGTGAATACAGGTGGAGAACAAGCGAGTGAAGGCAAGCTAAGCAAAGCTAAAAGTGTAGGTGATTTGTCGTTTAAAAAAGGCGCAAAAAATGATGAAGCTCGTTCTTATCCAGTGTTAAGGAGAGTTTCTTTCAACCCAGACCAGACCGATTCCGTGGACGGCGTACCGTCGTTCTCTGACTCTAGAATACAGAAAGAACTTGAGGAACAGCGTTTGCGGGAAGAGATCGTAAAACAAGAAGTCTTGGAGAGAGAAAAGCGTCATCGACTAGAAGAAGAGAAAAAGAAAACCGTTGAGGTGTCTGCGGGCAAGAAGGAGATGAGCTTAAATGACATCAAGAGAAATCCTCTTCCTAACAAAATTCAGGTAGTTATATAATGATTATGCGTTATTGACCAAGTCTGAGGTCAACAAGATGGCTGAATATCCATCGTCTCGGTCAATAAAAACGTTAAAAAGAACGAGGCCAACATTCAGCCACCTTGACCGAAAGAGCTTGGTCAATAAAGGATTTACTAAATGAACAAAAAGAGAACTTTTTCTTGCGGGACCAACGCATAAGAATCCCGGGAGTGTAAGACGGGATCATCTTGCCCACTCGGGTAGCCAATCAAAACGCACGATTCGCTTCAGGCTGCCCGCTCGCGAATTCAGCTATATAATAAGTATGCGGTATTGATCGAGCCTGAGGTCAAGATGGCCAAATATTTGCCAAGTTCTACTTTTTGCTGTATAATGGACCTCAATTTAGTTTCGGTCAATAAAAACGCAAGGTCCCTAAGGTTACTCCAAGTAAACATGAATGTAGAAAATCCTCCTTCCTGTTTTCACCAAGTAATAAGTGGCAGTCTGATTATCGCAAAAAGACTACCCTTTCATATCGTTTGACCCATCTTTACTTATGCAATTCTAATTATCTCACGAAGTTCTTCAAAAATGGTGTAATTACCAGCTATGAAATCACTGCTTGTACAAATCTCAGACTGAACTTAACGTCTAGTGCAAGGTTTGGCCAATTTTGAAGGCGTGTGGCATTTTTTTCGATTTTCTAGTTTCTATTCCAGGCTTCAACGTTCTCTTAATTTGGTCAGTTGTGACTTTGATTGGGTAAATTTGCCTCCAACAGGTCAAAAAGCCCCAGTCCTCGTCATCAAACCGAGACTCGCTGACTCATTCGATGGCAGCCCATTGGGAGACAGTGTTACAGTCAGTACCAGACGGAAAGGAATCAAAGTAAGCCAGCTGCTTAGTCTCGAAATTACATTATTTGCTTTAATTTTGCTAACTGATTTACTCAATTGATTGAGTGCTAGACAGTAAAGCGTAGGCGTGGGTTCGATTCCCGGCCGGATAATTAGATAACTGATGTGCTCTGGTGTATTTCTCTTCATGATTTGTTTTCATTTGCCTCAAGTTTGGCTTCTATGGGAGATTTTTGTTTTCCCATGAATTAGCACCGCAGCCTTCTTTCCTGCACGCACTGGGTAGATGTTTCCCTGACTCCTTTTTGTCTTCTCATTGATGTGTTTTAGGGGCAACATGAATAAAAGAAAGAGTGTGATCGAGGTAAGGTGTTTGTAGTTGTACCCCATAAGAAGATCTTAATGTAATGTAAAGGTGAACAAAGGGGTCGTTTTCGAGGGAAAACATGTAACTGATGCAAAGGACTCGAAAAGATGTAGCAAATCCTGAGCGCGGGAAAACATATCATAGTACCAAGCGTTGTAAAACATTCAACGTGTGCGAATGGCGGGAAATTTGCAATGAGTGACAAAGGCGGGAAAAACATGCGTTAAGTACCAAACGTAAGAACACGTGCAATTTGTCCAACTCGGTAGCCTCCGTGGAAGGAAGTATTGTTTTTTTCTGCAAAGCACAGGAAGCCATGTAACTCGTCTTACTCAGGAAAACCTGGTAGCAAGCGGGAGATATGAAAGCAGACTCGATTGAGGAAAAACCTGTAACTGATTACAGTAAGGAATTCATCTTCCGAGAGAACTCTTTGAATGTTAACCAGAGAAGATATACTAGGACCACTTATATGAAGAAAAATACGGCGCATCTTACATAAGACGCAAACTTTACCGTACAAACGGCACATTTCGTTTGAAAACAGACGCGTCTTACTTCAGACGAAATGTGCCGGTTATACGGTATAGTTTGCGTCGTATTTAGGGCGCGTCTTGTTTTTCCTCGTATAAACGGCCTTACTGTCTATCTCATATTCTCGTGCTTGAGTTTCCCTTAACTCTGTTTGTTGTTTTTATGCCGTATATTTCGCTTGGAAACTAATTTTTCTTGTTTTCCCATATCTTTGGCAGCTGGAAAAAGAGGAAGAGAGACGAAGGGAAGATGAACTTCAGAAGGAAAGAGAAAGAGTTTTGTTAGAAAGACGACAGAAAGTGGAAGAGAATCAGTTTATTAAACAGGTACGTGGAAAGTGAATGTTTCGTTGTTGTTGTTGCTGTTGTTGTTTTTTTTATCTACTGTGGTTGCAATCAGTTTAATTTGCTTAAACGTGTGGTTAACGTTTCCCAACTCTTTTGTTTTCAGAGGAAGAAAGAACAAGAAATGGAAACGAAGAAGAAAAAAAAAGAAGAGAAGGTTAGTTTCGGTGAACACAGCGGTCAAACGAGTGAAATTTGCAAAAGTCAAGCGAAATACTTCAAAGTCAAGGTTGCTACTTTCACTATCGAGAGTTTAAGGTATTACCAACATCCTGTTAGTTCACTAAACTTTTTAAAAGTTTACTAAAAAAGTTCTAAGTGATTGAAAACCGATGCAGACGTTATTATCGGCGCCATTTTCAAACATGATTCTCTTTTAGCGTGAAGCGTTTTCAGCGAAAAAAGCTCAAAATTTTGAGAAAAATGGAAAGATAGTTATGTTGACTAACTGATTTATACATCTTTGCCCATTTTTCCCTAACTGGTAAATGAAATCCCAGCAATAATAAACAAAAATAACGATTTAGACGTTTGACCGCGGTGGTGTTTCGGTGACACGTTTAATACATCCCCCTCCCCCCCGCCCCCTCTCCAGTATTGGACAAAGACAGACTGATGAAGAAGTTGCTCTTGGATTATTTTCACTCACGAAATCGAAAATTAAAACACTATTTCAAGCCTCTATAATCGATAGTTGTTCAAAACTGTTTACTTTAAATCTCAAGCAAACGCTTTTAGATACCGTTCTTGCTTGCCCTGTAATAGTTTCTTTCCGAGAACTAGAGCAACAAGCTCATTTCCTCCTTCAGGTTGTTACTAGGGTAAACCAAGTTGTTGCCAGTGTATAGGTCCTAGTTGCTCAAGGCATGTAACGTTCTCCATCGAATAATATATCATGTCCAGTGGATTAGTATTGCGGAATGAGTTGCGTTATCCAGCAAGCAAGCGTAGACAAGGATGCCGCTTTTAAACGCAAGTTAAAATGTTTAACATGAGTAATATGCGAAAATCACAAAAACCGGCCACATTTCGGTTTTGTCATTTTGACTGATAAAGGGTTTATACACAACAAAATTTGAAAAACGATAAAATTGTTTACAACGTGAACCGTGGTTAACTGTAATTTAAAGTCCGGCGGTGAAGTTATTTCTCTGTTTATTCTGTTTCAGGAAAAGCGGCAACAACGAACTACAGCCATGAAATCCTTATTTGAAAGCAAAGGAGCCAAAAATTGAAAAACAGAGTTTTATAGTATAAATAGAGACTAATTTGAAGTTTTTTCTAGACTTTTTTGGTCGCGCTGTATTTAGTAAGTCCAAAACCGTTTCTTATAATATACATTTTTTGGAACAAACTTGTATTGAGCAGATGTACCGGATACTAGAAGCGCTTGCCACCAAGCCAAAAATTCCGAAAAGTTTGGATGGACCAAACCGGGAACCCATAACCAAACTGAGGTGCGAAGGGATGAAAACAAAACTTGGAGATCGGGCAACCCTCTTATCTCAGGGTCTGGATTACCGCCCCCCCTCCTCCTCCCTTATCTCAAGATCTGGATCCGGCACTGGTTTGTTCCCTTAGAACGCAGTCTCAGTAGCCCGGAGTTGGGCTTGGGGCCAACCGTTTCATCCGGGAGCTTTCGTGGAAGGAATGGGCTTTGGGCTGATTTAATAGTGTAAGACGAGGTCCATACCTGGTGACCTTGGACCGTTTTGTAGTAGTAGACAAGCATATAGTTCATTTAAATTTTTTTCTAAGTAAAAGGGATATTTTTAGTCTTTTATACTTGAAAGAAAGTAGCGTTCTAAAGCATTTCGTGATATCGTATTGTTTATTTACAAACGCGTCATTTAATTTTGAATTTAATGTTTGTCTAACATTTTTTCTGCTATCCTAACACCGCCTTTAGTGGTTTCGTTAACTGTTTCACTCACAGAAAAGGCCAAAGTCTAAATTGGACAGAAATTCCAAATTTCATTTTATTAAATTCGGAGAAACAAATGATACAACGTAAGAGCGCTGCCAAGCAAAGAGGTTTCATTTGAATGGTCACACCAACGGATTTGGTCCACAGACTCGAAAGTTAGAACAACCTCATAGGATGCCATCGTTCATTCTGGAGTGAAAGAGTTAAAGACGCCTGCACTTTGCCTTGAGATATACGATATACCTACTGCCATGACTCTTAATTGGTAAAAAGTATTGCTTTTCAATCATAATGAATACAATTCAAATAAAATACATTCTTATACAAAAATGGTTTGAAAAATAAACGATAGAATTAGAAGTGGATTTTTCAATCCCTTTGACTTTGTATTGAAACAAGATGCTTTTGCATAAATAGAGAATATTACACGGTGGCGAGAAGATATGAATTTTATGTTCGAGTGGCAAGAACAATATCTCACGAGTGAGCGAAGCTCCCTCGTGAGATATTGTTCTTGCCACGAGAACATAAAATTCATATCTTCGAGCCAACGTGTAGTGTTCTTTTTATTATATGGAGAAACCAATTCAACAAAAGCAAAAGGCGGGAATCGTGACGTCATTGAACGATACGACACTCACAAAGGTGACGTACGGAAAATACGCCACTCGGGTCCCGGATGAAGTGGCGTATGGAATCTACGAGTGGTTTAGTTCCCAGTAAAACACTCTCCTCCATATAATAAAAGTGATGTATCTAATATCTATCCATTTAGTAATGATTCCTCTAAAGCTAGAGTAATTAACTATTTTTGTATAACTGTCGGAACGTAAAATTGTAGCACTGTTAGAATACTTTGCGTTTTTTATCTTCACTAAATTGGTTAAACCTAGTATCCGGGGGGGGGACTCCGCATATGAAAGGGGTGGGAATGCTCGTCTGAAATTTTGAATTAAACCCCTAAAGGAGTCAAATCTGGGCGTCGCCCAACCTTTTTTTGACCCTTAAAAGCGATCATTTTAAACTTTGATTACATGAATCGAGTAAAATAAAACGAATTAAAAATATATAATGTTTTACTATTTCTTCGAGTACAACCGTAAAAGAGACCTTTACGGCTAAATATAATAGTGTTTCGCCAAGAACACGCTAAGCGAGACGACGAGCATCCCCATCCCTTTCATATACGGAGTTCCCCCCCCCCCTCGGGCCTAGTATGCCTGAATTTAACCCTTTAAGACCCAATATCCACATACAAATTCTCCAAACTGATCTCTAGCTATTTCCTTGAAGAATTATTTGAGAGAATGTGATAAAAGATCAAAACATTTTCTCTTAGGTGATTATTATGTTAATTCTCACAACCTAATATCTTGACAATGTATAGATATCGTTAGGAGAAGATTGATGTTGGTCACTGTTGGAACTTTTAAAAGGGTAAGCAGGAAGTGTGAGTGACTGAAATAAAATGGGAATATAGCAACAAACTTAATTCTCTCTGTTTTATCTGGACCTCAGGCTGCCTCCACACAAGTGAGTGGACCTTGAAAAATCTCTCTTTTTGTTGACAAATGCATCAAAAGCTCCTTTCCCATGCAGCCTTTTCGACTATTCCACAGTGGGAACTCGTCCACACCAATGACTTTTCATTTGAAACGAATACATTTGTGCATTTTGGCCCTGCTTTCAAACTAAACCCACCAAAAGCCCTCACGTCGTAGCTTATCATGCGAGACATGTTGTCAGGCGAAAAAACGAGAAAACCGCTGTTGCTGTTGACGCAAGCGCGGTATGAAGTACACATGTCCGAGAAAAGCCTGGGAGCAGAAACGTACCGAGAGATAGACGTTTCTGATGGCTTAGTGCCAAAAACGATCACGATGAAATACACTTGCGGGAGTAAAAGACGGGTTGGTGTGGACAGAGCCTCAACCGAAAACCCACATCTGAGGATATAATATAGAGATTAAGCCTGGGCTAAAAGCGAAACTTTCGTTAATTTACCTATAATTTACTCCAACAAAAATAAAATCGTGTAATGCTAAACAGCGACGACAACGAAAATGGCAAAAATAAATTAAAAGGTCTAATTGTGCAGCACGCTTTTTGTACATTTCTTTTCCTTTGTTTGTGCACAACTACAACATGAAACTTCCTAGTTACACGTTTTATGGAAGAAATGTCGTATATGTGCTCACACAAAAAGTTGTTGCTTGTCTTCCAGTTCGGTAAGCTGTGTCCGTTTACATTACAGATGGAGGTTTCAATAGTTTTGCATATATCATAATAAAACTTTCAGTTAATGAAGCAAAAACCCGCGCTCCTATTCTTTACATTTCGATTTCAACAGTGATTTCGGGCACAAAAAGTTACCGGGACTTTCGAGAAACGGGCCCCAGTTTTCACTCCATATACCTAGCTAACCGTTTTTCCCTCCAGGGTTCGACCACCAACAGTTAGAAAAGCTTCTTGAGTTGGACGGCTATAGCAAGTTCCTCATACTCCTTTGCTTGTTCAAGGTCACCTAGCTCCTTGTGAATTGAAGCTAGGTTACCGTAGCTTGTTGCAACAGAAACATGTTCAGCACCAAGCTTCTTGAGTTCGATGGCTAAACCACGTTGCTGATACTCCTTTGCTTGTTCAAGGTCACCTAAGGCCTTGTGAATTGAAGTTAGGTTACCGTAGCTTGTTGCAACAGAAACATGTTCAGCACCAAGCTTCTTGAGTTCGATGGCTAAACCACGTTGCTGATACTCCTTTGCTTGTTCAAGGTCACCTAAGGCCCTGTAAACTAAAGCAAGGTTACCGTAGCTTGTTGCAACAGAAACATGTTCAGCACCAAGCTTCTTGAGAAAGATGGCTAAACCACGTTGCTGATACTCCTTTGCTTGTTCAAGGTCACCTAAGTCCTGGTGAATTGAAGCTAGGTTACCGTAGCTTGTTGCAACAGAAACATGTTCAGCACCAAGCTTCTTGAGTTGGATGGCTAAACCACGTTGCTGATACTCCTTTGCTTGTTCAAGGTCACCTAAGTCCTGGTGAATTGAGGCTAGATTACCGTAGCTTGTTGCAACAGAAACATGTTCAGCACCAAGCTTCTTGAGAAAGATGGCTAAACCACGTTGCTGATACTCCTTTGCTTGTTCAAGGTCACCTAAGTCCTGGTGAATTGAGGCTAGATTACCATAGCTTGTTGCAACAGAAACATGTTCAGCACCAAGCTTCTTGAGTTCGATGGCTAAACCACGTTGCTGATACTCCTTTGCTTGTTCAAGGTCACCTAAGTCCTGGTGAATTGAGGCTAGATTACCGTAGCTTGTTGCAACAGAAACATGTTCAGCACCAAGCTTCTTGAGAAAGATGGCTAAACCACGTTGCTGATACTCCTTTGCTTGTTCAAGGTCACCTAACTTGGTGAATTGAGGCTAGATTACCGTAGCTTGTTGCAACAGAAACATGTTCAGCACCAAGCTTCTTGAGTTGGATGGCTAAACCACGTTGCTGATACTCCTTTGCTGGTTCAAGGTCACCTAAGTCCCGGTGAATTGAGGCTAGATTACCGTAGCTTGTTGCAACAGAAACATGTTCAGCACCAAGCTTCTTGAGTTCGATGGCTAAACCACGTTGCTGATACTCCTTTGCTTGTTCAAGGTCACCTAAGTCCTGGTGAATTGAGGCTAGATTACCATAGCTTGTTGCAACAGAAACATGTTCAGCACCAAGCTTCTTGAGTTGGATGGCTAAACCACGTTGGTGATACTCCTTTGCTTGTTCAAGGTCACCTAAGTCCTGGTGAATTAAAGCTAAGTTATTGTACCCGGATGCAACATTGACATTTTGGTCACCCAACAGCCTGATGCGAAAAGCGAGAAACTTTTTCAAGTATGTCTTTGCCACGTTAAATTCACAGTGCATTTTACATATGTCGCCAAGATTCCACAATTTTTCAGAAATGTCCTGAACATGGACTTGAGACATATTTTCTGTCCTAATAACTGTATTAATTGGAATAATAAGCGCACGTACGTGCGGAATGATGTACATAGTGTCCATTGTTCTATTTTCGTGTGGAATTGTGACTATAAATTTGTTAAATGATGTAACAGCTTCACTTACAACTTTAATCGTTTGATTCTCCTTACAGTCACTCATCACCCATTTCATTGCGTCGTGCACAACCTGATGTACACGAATGTAGTAGCAACTATCTTCGTCTTCCTCTAAAAGAAGCAGTGAACATCTTCTGAATCTCCTGCGAATGTGTTCTTTGTCCTCTTTGTCATCGTGTTCGAGAACGTTTATAAGGTAACTAACCGCTATGTCAACGTTTAATGGTTGTGGTGCGCACAGGGAAAGAAATCTGAATAGGTGTTCAAAAAACTTGTCGGATTTAACTTGTGCTTCGACAGCTAACGTTATTGCTGTAGTCATCGTATTTGGATAAATTGGGTTGGTATCAGCAAGGGTATCCTCGGTCGTTTCTCGTTTTCCTTTTTCTAAAATCTTTAGGTATTCGTCCCAGCCAAAGTGCTTCGATGCTTTGTCCTGTCGAATGTCTTTGACAAACACAGCCGCGCCTGCTAAAGCGAGTGGCTGAT